AACTGCTAATCTTCCTTTTCATTATACAAATGTGCCATTAAAATGTATATGCATGTATAAAATTGATATAAGATCAGATAAAAACCATGAACACTGGAGATCATCGACCCTTAGCGCTGAACGTTTAAAATTTCAAAACATTTCGACACAATTATGACGTAACAAAGACTCGTATACTGAAATCAAGTTTCACACTTTGATACATGCTCCAATTCACTGGTTCGAAACAAAGCTAGTTGAAGCTTCCAAAGTGCACGTAACCATATTAAGGACTCAAATACAGGGCTGATAATATATTATACTGCTGTGTGAAAGTATGCCATTGCATTTGGACAGATATATGCCAACTATCGCCTCATCTACAGCCATTTGAGCTTGGACCCTGATGACAGCTATTTGAGGCAATACTGTATTGATGTTCATCCAAGTTTCTTTTGCACAGTTTGGTCTTTTAATCTCATTTTTTCCATAAATGAAAAGGATGGTTTTAAAATAGACTCACCCCTATACCCTGTACTACAAGCATGTTTGTAGGCCTATATAAGTGAAGGTACATGCATCTGTACACTATGGAATAACATTGTCTTTCCTTTTCCAATAAATTCCACATGAAGAGATAATATGCAAATTTAATTAAACAATAATAATAAAGGTAACTTTTAATTCAAAAGTCATATTTGCATGATCAATTAAATTTATAAATAAATAGCTAAAATATGCACTTTGGTAGTATACAATGTCAAAGTAATAATTGGACCATAAGTGCTCACATATGCAATAATTGGACCATAAGTGCTCACATATGCAAAACAAAGTACAATGGATTTGAATGATGCTTGATGTCTCTTGGCTATGATCAGTGTCGGTGACTTGATGAAATATATATTCATTCATGTTCATGTGTGCTTAAAAGTCCTTGATCTCGTCTAAGCACTAGGCTGAATTTATTTGTGTCTGCTAGATTAATATATGTAAATGTACGATTTAATTTACTAAGATAGCAATAGAGGGAGCTCCTGCTGCAGACACTGTATTAGAGAGAGAGAGCGAGAGAGAGAGAGAGATCTTGAGCTTGAGCTCTTCATTAATAGAGACCACCAGCTACACACAGATAAAGCAGAATGATTCAGATCTGTGACGATAAACTCCTCATATTTCACCTGCTGCTCCTCGTGTCAGGTGAGAGTTATCCTGTGTCTCTCTAACAATCTGTCTGTTCTCAATCAGGTCCATGTTTGCACTGAGCGGTTTCTCTCTCTTCATGTTTTTATAGTCTTGGCATGTGAGACGAGTGAGATCTTGACTTTCACTGCACATGAAAGAGGGAAAATTGAAATACAGTGTACATATGAGTCTGGATATGAAGAACAGAAGAAGTATCTCTGCAGAGGAGAATGTCCAATAGTGATTAAAGGCAAAGCTGTTGAATCTGAATCAGCAACTCAAGACGTGAGATTCTCTCTGACTGACAATAAAACAGCCCGGATCTTCACCGTCACCATCACTGATCTGAGAACAGAGGATCAAGGCAAATACTGGTGTGGTGTAAAGACGGGATTTGGAAGTTATGATTATAAGAGAGAGATTTACCTGGAAATTAAACATGGTAAGTCAGAGTATACTGTATGTGTGCTCATATACTGTATATGGTGTAAAACATAATACAAATAATATATACTCAAAATAAATATAAGATAGGTCTGTTTGCGTGTGTGAAAGTACTGTATCATGTGCTGAAAGATGTAGAGAGGCGAGATAACAGAAACCACAGTGTCCTCTGCAGATGGTGAAGAGCAAGTGTTCACACTACACACAACAAAAATACTGACCCGCATCACTTCCTGCAACATGTAGCCTATAAAGAAATGTCAGGGTTAAATCCAGTTACATGTAAGAGAGTCACTTTATCTGTCGGCATTTAGCAATTAAAAAGTACAGGTAGTCTTTAGTGAAAGACAAGTAGCCTTGTAACAGTGTTTGATATTTATTACATGATCACTGTTTGTAAGCAGAGCAGCCAGTGCTGAACAGAGCAAACACATATGAATTACACTAGTACAACACTAACAGTATATAATAAAACAGCTGACACTGAGGATGGAGGACAGTACTGATGTGCAATAATGAGACTCTGAGATACTTAAATCTCTCATTTATGCTCTGATTTAGTGTCCCGAGTGTCTGGTGTGACTGGAGAGCATCTGAAAATCACCTGCCGTTATGAAAGTGAATTAAAGGATAATGTCAAAATCATCTGCAAAGCAAGCAGCACGTCCCTCTGTGAGAAATCAGCTATCAAAGTTTCATCAGAGAAACACAGTAATGGACGATTCTCTCTGAGCGATAGACGAGTGAGATCTTGACTTTCACTGCACATGAAAGAGGGAACGTTGATATACAATGTCCATATGAGTCTAAATATAAGGACGATAAGAAGTATCTCTGCAGAGGAGAATGTCCAATTGGGATTATTAAAGACAAACCTGTTGAATCTGAATCAGCAGCTACAGACGAGAGATTCTCTCTGACTGACAATAAAACAGCCCGGATCTTCACCGTCACCATCACTGATCTGAGAACAGAGGATCAAGGCAAATACTGGTGTGGTGTAAAGACGGGATTTGGAAGTTATGATTATAAGAGAGAGATTTACCTGGAAATTAAACATGGTAAGTCAGAATATACTGTATGTGTGCTCATATATGAACAAACTAATATAACACTAAAATACTCTAAAGTAATATGTCAGAGGTCTGTTTGCGTGTGTGACAGTATTGTATCATGTGCTGAAAGATGCAGAGAGGCGAGATAACAGAAACCACAGTATCCTCTGCAGATGGTGATGAGCGACTGTTCACACCACACACAACAAAAATACTGACCCGCATCACTTCCTGCCACATGACATGCAGTTTCTTTGAGAAGAAATAGTTAATTCAAAAACAGAAAGAATAACTACACAACTCAAACTCTCAGACTTATTTGTTTTTAGTATATATATATATATATATATATAGTGGGTACGGAAAGTATTCAGACCCCCTTAAATTTTTCACTCTTTGTTATATTGCAGCCATTTGCTAAAATCATTTAAGTTAATTTTTTTTCCTCAATGTACACACAGCACCAAGTTTGCGGTATCTCTTGACATTTAGTGATTCTATAGGTCAAGTTCTTTTTCGTTTCACATTCATGACATTATCAGCGTTTGTAAGCAGACGGCCAGTGAAAACAGTGTCAATGAATGTAAAGCAGAAAGAGCTGACATTATTCAGACTAGTTTCTGATTAAACCACCAATAATGGCATTGTACGCACTTGATTATTTTCTTTTTATGCTCTGATTTAGTGTCCCGAGTGTAGAGCATCTGAAAATCACCTGCCGTTATGAAAATGAATTAAAGGATAATGTCAAATTCATCTGCAAAGCAAGTAGCACGTCCTTCTGTGAGAAATCAGCTATCAAAGTTTCATCAGAGAAACACAGTAATGGACGATTCTCTCTGAGCGATAATGCATCTGCAGGAGTTTTTACTGTGACCATCGCTGGTCTGACAGAAGAGGATTCTGGGATATACTGGTGTGCAGCTGTACAGAGAGGACAAGAGCACAAGAACAAGTGGATTTCAGTCACTGATCTGAACATTACTGCAGGTAAGACACAATCAGCCATTTTATATTATAGGGACATAGAAAACGAAATCATATGTTCTTAGTATAGAAGTGGTGAAAATGCTAAACACACAACGCTGGTCACACATAAGCCGCTGAATTTTCACCACAACCTCAACATTAGTGAAGCGTCACTAACAGCTGTGTCAGGGGGAAGTACAAAGTGTCACATGACCTTTTGCCATAGTAAGACCATAGAAATTAAACTCTGTATATTTATTCTGAAATGCATGCTCAGTGAGCCCAGTCTCATGAAAATGCGTATAAATAGTATGCCAAATAAAAACGAAAACTTGTGGTATTGATATGCAAAAATGGACTTTGGCGTGCATATGATACGCATGTGTTAGGCGTGCATATAAAACCCAGTTTTCGCGTACATATGATACGCATCTACCCCACAACCCTAAACCTACCCATCGCGTAGCATATACACGCCAAAGTCCATTTTTGCATATCAATACCACAAGTTTTCGTTTTTATTTGGCGTACTATTTATAAGCACTTTCATGAGATCGGGTTGGCTCATTATATAACATGTATCTTAAATAGTTTCTGTTGTCATCATATCTGGAAATAACTGCATGGGCTGTCATGCATTAAACCCAGTGATGATTTGTGTTTCAGTCACATCAGAGAGGATGTCACCGAAACCAACAACAACAGCTTCATTTCACACCAGCACACCAGCGACAGCAGATACTGCATCCGACAGAACCGTCACATCTTCATCATCATCATCTTCATCATCACCTTCAGTGTTAATGTTTTTTTCATCCACTGCTAATGCAGTGTCACCAAAACCACAAACGGGTGCGATCAGTTCTGTTGCTCAAAGTGTCTGATTTAAATATGCAGAGACATTTGTTTCTCGGGTTTCACATAAAACAGGACATTTAGTGACATTTATTAGATGTTTTTGTCTGTTTTTCAAGGTTTTGCACCAATCATCATGGTGGTGGTCATAGGGATACTGACAGGGTTTGGATTCTCATTGTTCATTTATTTAAGACAAATAAGGAAGGCAAAAGGGCAAAAGGAAGAAGGTAACTGTCTTTCTCACATCAATCTACTTGATATAGAATCATTTTTATTCTCATTTGCCATAAATCTCAGCGTTTTCATAGTCAAACCGGACTTCAGAGTCACAAACTTGCATACTGTGTCAAAAGAAAGGTCTTTAATAGATAATGTGTGACAAATCAAAAAATCTGGTGTCACTAAACAGGAACGCAGCCCAAAGATGTGGTTCATGGCCCAAATAACAATCTGCCCAGTCGAGATACGGGAGAAACTAAAGAAGTGAGCTTCATCATGTGTCTGTCTGAGTTCAGTCTGTATTGAGTAGTGGATTCTAATCAACTTTTCCACTCTTAAACCATTAATTTTTCTTCTTCTCTTCAGGCCACACATACAGTGTACGATTATGAAGACATCAGTAGCTCACTTGATCATCCTGACTATAGTCTGATCCTTCCGGCATTTGCTAAACATGACGCCTCTGTTTATGCTTTAGCACAATTACCCAGCAGCCCCTCTGACATTCTCACTTACTCCAGCATCAAATTTACAGCTGCACATCATTCAGACAGGACTTCTGATGGGCAGGAAACATGCGACTACACAACCGTTAGACCATAAAAGACTGAGGACACTCACGGAGACCAGGTTAAACCTGAATCACACCAAACTGAGAATGCTTCTCACTTACTTTGTGATTTTAAACATGTGGCCTTTACATTATTTTGGATAAGTCAGTATTTGAGACATACGATTGTTTGACGTATGTTTGGCTACATTACTGATTGTCTGTTATTTATTCATACCCACAAGTCCTTTAGTATTACAGTACATAGTGAAGAAATAAATGAGTGGAGAAAAGCAGTGTTGCGGTGCGTTAATAAAAGTTACAATTAAAATCAGAATGAAAAGTAGTGTAACAAAAAGTAACTGACAGGTTGAAATGTCAGTGCGAGCTAATTAATACTTTTGAGATAGTTGCTGTTATCTATGCCCTCCCAGTCTAAATATCAATAATTGTGCAATATACAGTATCTCACAGAAGTGAGTACACCCCTCACATTTTTGTAAATATTTTATTATATCTTTTCATGTGACAACACTGAAGAAATGACACATACATCTCTTTTTTTTTATTTAGACTGATTAAGATATTGCTGTAGTCAGTAATCTCACATATCACTATTATATAAGGTCCCCGTTTCACCAGCCTTTAAAAAGAAGGCATAGCAAGATAAGGCGATATTTATTGTCGAGTAGGCTATTTACTGATGAGTAGCCTTAATTCAGTAGATCCCAATATTGCTCTGCAGTCTCACCATTAAATCTCTGTTAAAAACTACTAATGAATAAAATGCCCTGCTCAATGTATATGCACAGTTTAATATACTTAATATTTGACTCTATTTTCGATGCGCACCCAAACAATATGACAATGGGATACCGTCGCCCCCTGCAGGTCGAAAGCGAAAGCGCAGTTCTTGACGGGATGTCCTGTCAGAAAGGGGCTTGTGGGAGGACACGATTTAAAGGAAGCACCAGAGAGCTGCGAGACAGGTACCGCGTGTTTATTATTTCCTAACTTGTTTGTAACTTTTATCACTAATACATGTTAGAACCAATAGGCCTAACTATAATGCTTATTAGAACCAAAGCCTTTTTTTTTTCTTTTTCTTTTTTTTTCATCTGGCTAGCGTTATGCCACACGTTTAAAATTACTAAACGCAATAAATAATTTTAATACATTGTAAATATGTATAATTGAAATAATTGATAACTTGTTTGTGATTCACCCAAGGCTCCTTTTCCGTGAATTTAACCGTTCACGAACAGTAGCCTACACAACAAGAACGATAACAATACAATAAAAAATAAAAAAAACTCTAAAAATTACAAACTACACACCTCAGCTATAACGACACGGCGTAGAAGATCGATAACGTTGGAATCAGTTTTAGAACGATTTGTTTTCCAGTTGATTACCTGCAAAAAAAACAAAAAAAAAACTCGTCAAAGCGCTCTGCAGTTGTTCACAGAACTTAACGGAAGGTCGCCAAGAATAAACATCGTCCGTTGGTGTCAACGTTAATATAGTTATGATCATATTTATCGCTTTATGTTTGTATGCTTTATGTTTGTAGCTACTCAACAGAAAGTAAATCAAGTCTGGTTGTGTTTAGGATTATTAAAAGTGCATACTACATGATTTTATTAGATATAAAAAATATGAAATTATTTTAAGTCAAACCCAACTTGTCATATATCGTTTCTCATCTGATCTTATCCACCTTTTCTAGTAAGTGCGGGCACAGCCGTTTGTACATTTAATGTGTCTGGCTTCCGGTCTCTTCCAGCTATTTTTATCTGTACATAACAGCTTGTGTTGCTGCTTTACAAACTGGTGTCTCTTGCCATGTTATTGTAATGTATTATCTTAAATGAACGCATTTTGGTTTGTAGTGCAAACAGTTTTACCATGCATTTACTGGGTCACTCCTGGGATTCTGAGTTTTTAAAGTGGTATTTACCAAATTCAGTTGTTCAAAGCTTTTCACAATACTTTGGTATGCCTGTTATAATGAATAAAAATAATTATTGCATTTTATTTTTTTAACATAAAGTGATGTCTTATATCTTAAACCAAGCATATCGTCATGTCCCTGAGGCACTTCACTGAATTAGTACTTTGAAAATTATTAACAAAATGTGCATAGTGTCTGTGATTTTTGGCAAAAATATAAGCATTTATTTGTGTTCCTTTCCTGTGAAAAATACTTTTCTAAAAATAAAAAAAAACCACTTTAAAGTTATGTCCCTTAGTCTGAACTCAATCCTGTCACACTAACTATTCTGTACCCATAATAATTTAGACTCTGCTCATATGTGACATAATTGACCAGAAATTACATCATTCAGCTTTCTTTAATAGTGGTACAGAAAATGGTCAGTAGTATCATACTTTTTATTCATATTTTTGAGGCATGTTATAGTCAGGGAGGGTACTGTCAAGCTTAACAACTCAACCCCGTCACATAAAATTAAGATGGAAAATCATTATTTTTCAACATTTTATTTAATACATAAATATATACAATGTACTTATTTTATTGCTGCCATATATGGTCTACTGTTCTACACTACATGAGGAGCAGTGGCCATTTTGAGTGAAAAACCACAACCCCGTCACAAATATATATGTATTTCTCATTGTTACAGGGTTGTAAACTTGTGACAGGGTTGAGTTATTTACTTCATTTATTAATATTTATAATTTTAATAACATGATATATAAAATAGTCATGGTTTCAGTAAATATATACTTACCAAAACCATGACAACTCATATTTTTGTTATAAATAGAATGTTTGATGTAATATGTCCGCTTAAACTTTGACAAGCATCATACATCAGCAATTGCACCCACATTTACAGCAGAAAGGCAATGTTGGCCATGCAGATATGTTGACCCAGAAACAAGGGGACAATATGAGAGAGAAACATAGATAATTTATTTGTCCTCAGAGAGGAAATTCATTTTCACAGAGGGTGCGTATATAACACAAAAACAGCAGCACATTACATATAAACTTGTCACAGTAAAATGAAAAACAATCACGTCAAAAAATAAATAAATACATAAATAATAAAATAAAATAAAATAAATAAACAACAAATGCAAGAGTGTAATATGATAGATGATTTCTTATGTCAAGTCAAGTCACCTTTATTTATATAGCGCTTTTAACAATACAGATTGTGTCAAAGCAGCTTTACAGTATTAAATAGGAAAATAGTGATATTCAATAAATAGTAATAGTCAATAATGCAAAATGACAATAGTAAACACTCAATTTTCAGTTAAAGGCAGTTCATCATTGAATTCAGTGATGTCATCATCCAGCTCAGTTCAGTTTAAATAGTATCTGTGCAATCAAGTCGACGATATCGCTGGAAATTAAGTGTCCCCGGCTAAGCAAGCCAGAGGCGACAGCGGCAAGGAACCAACTACATCGGTGACAGAATGGAGAAAAAACCAGGCTCAGTCGGGGGGCCAGTTCTCCTCTGGCCAGACGAACCAGCAGGTTGATCTATGCTGCAGCAAAGTCACATTGTGCGGAGGACTTGTCTGGTTCCTGTGGTCTTGTCCCGATGGCCGTCTAGGAGACAAGGTCTTCACTGGGGATCTGTGTCTGGGGCTCATCTAGTTGTCCTGATCTCCGCTGACATTCAGGGCAACAGTAACTAAACCACATATAGCTGTATGAGCAAAACTACTATAGTTAGTCTTCCTACACATAGGTAACCTATACCTACGGCCAGATGGAAGGGGAATGAAATACTGATGGAGTGGGTGATCTGGATCATTTATGATTATGTGCTTTCCAAATCATAGTTGAAGTGACCAAAACCGAAAATTAAAATTGAAAGCAATGTATCCCTTCCAATGTGTTACAGTCTTCAACCCCGTCATACCTTGTCACACCTTATATTAAACCTCTAAATTAAATTTTTTTTTTTTTTTTACAAAAATAGCGACAGACGCACAATTGGTGTATGTTAGCTTCAGTCCTGAAAAATATGAAAATTATGATAAATGTGACATTTGTTATTATTAAATTACTTGAGGGGCAAATGGGCAGTAGTTAGATGTTTGTTTTATTGTAAGTTCTGTGTAAAATCCTTTTTAAACCAATCACATTTTGTCCGTTACGGGGTTGAGAAAAAAAGTGTCAAAGTGGGGTGGGGGGGGGGGGGGTGACCTAAAATAATAGAAGGTCATTAATGCCTGAGGTGGGAAAATATGATTTTTTTGGGAGGTTTGATATGTGCCTATGATGTGGGCTATTTAGAAAATGAATCATATGTAGTTGAAAAAATTTATATTCCAAGTTGAAATGTTACCGAATCCAAAGAATGACAGATCACAATGCAAGCAGGATGCCTCGTGTTACGGTCGTCACGATCGCAGTGACAGCATCCAGGATCAACACTGTTCATGTACCGCACTGTACGGTTAAATTAATTTACAGTTAACCAGTTTAATATGGAGAGTCACTGAAATGTAGATCTTCGTTTTTGTGTTTTTGACCTACACTGTACATGACGTGAGAACAGTCCACTATTTAGGTTTGTATGTTAGCATGGACTCATTAACGTTAACATTAACTAGTTTTAGCCAGAGATACCTTGCTAAAGCACAAGATGACATTAACGTTCTGCTTGAGCAGACGAAAATTGTAACTTGATGAGAGTGTGACACCTAGAAAACGAACGTTTTTGTCTTCATTGGGATTGGGGTTGAATGCTTAAGGACATTTTGCTCTGTTTTGTTTGGGTTTAGGAAATGTAATAAAATAAATTCCATTGCCCATCCTCTCGGGATACCTGCAATCAGTGTTATAAGTACCCCAGGCACATCGTTTTTCCATTTTTGTAGCATAAACACCATAAAAACGATGTGAGCTTCTGATCTTCCAATGTTTCTCTATGGCACTGAAACCTAAAGATGTCTGAGTTTCGCTCCCCATACAACTGATACTCAACTGCCATTGGCTCATCTGTGGTCAAGGGGAGGGGCTTATTGATAGGTCAGTTCATCATTCTTCTCATTATTTTACAGTGGCTAATGATCCGGAGGTCTTGCACATTACCAGAAAACAGCTTACTACCCCATTGAAAAATAAGGTGGATACAAGACCCAGGTAGACAAGATGTCGTCTGTTCCAGAGCAGTTTCTGGAAGCAGTGGATGAGTTGGATAAAAACAAACCAAAGAGACTAAAAAGTGAAGTTACGGCTTATGAACTGGAGAAGGCAGATGGAGAGGATGGGTCAATACAGACGATCAGCCCCTCTCAAACTTCAGTCAGTGTTGATCTGAATGCTAAAGCAGGTGCAACTGTAATCGCTCCTGTACTCACTGGAAATGTCATCCGAGGCCCAGTAATCATCAGCTTCAACTCAGCCACTGGTGCTGTCGGTAAGATCATACCACTGTAATATGGTTAACATCAGAGTTGCCAAATTTGCTCATTATCAGCCACCCCGGGCTTTTTTTTATTCCCTTATAGATTTCGGTAGTCACAGGATTTATTTTTCCCCTATATACAGTTTTTCAACACTTGGTTTAATTTAAATTATTTTGTTTCATTTTTCAACAAATTGTTTTGAATATATTTTTTCCCCAAATTCCCAAAGGGTCACTTACTTTGGGATGTAATTTTTGAGACCAAGTTGCTTATTTCTCTAGCAAATGTGCTGTAATGTGTTACAACCACCAAATAGTTTGCAAGGTTTGAATAAATATGCTTTGCTACCACTTCAGTAGCTAAACGATTTGTGTTTAATACTGTATATGTGTATTTTTCTGGCTTTTTTTCTGATGCTTACTCAAAAGGGCCCCAAAATCCACCCGAAGGACAGATGTCTCAGAAACAAGGTACAGAAACAATAGCCACTTCTTCATTCAGTTTATAATTCTAATACATTGTATTTAGATCCATTTTTAAATGTCTAAAAGTTATGTTTCCCAACATATCAGTGATTTTAGGCAGAAATCACAACAGTTCTTGTGTTTTTGATTTATTCTAGAGGACGACATCTTGCAAAAAATCATGGAAAGTCACAAACACAACATGAAGGCCAAAACGGGACGTGTGTTTGAGGGCAAAAAGGAGAACAAAACACACCTCAGCAAAGTGTACACTGAACTCTTCATCACTGAAGGGGACATTACAGACGTCTATGATGAACATGAGGTTCTGAAGTTTGACCGAGCCTTGAAAACGCCCAAATTTGAGGACACACCGATCGACTGCAATGACATATTCTGTTTACTGAAGCAAAAGGAGGAGGGAAACATTGTGCTGACCAAAGGCATCGCTGGCATCGGAAAGACGTTCTCCGTGCACAAGTTCATCCTGGACTGGGCCGAAGGAAAAGCCAATCGGAATGTGGACTGTGTGTTTCTGCTGCCATTCAGAGAGATGAACTTGATTAAAGATTATAAAGAGATCAGTCTCCACGAGCTTCTGTTGGAATTTTATCCTGATTTGAATGATGTGGAAAACACCAAGTTTTATAAAAAATGCAAACTGGCATTTATCTTTGACGGACTTGACGAGAGTCGCCTGGAATTGGATTTTGATTGTAAATTAGTCAAATGTGTCAATGCGCGGTCATCTGTTGATGTTTTATTTACAAGCCTAGTTATAGGCAAACTGCTTCCATCGGCTCTCATCTGGGTGACGTCACGACCGGCAGCGGCCAATCTGATCCCTCCTGAGTACGTAGGATTGTTTACGGAGGTGCGCGGATTCACCGACCAGCAGAAAGAGGAGTATTTTAGAAAACGGATCGTAGATGAAGCTCAGGCCTCCAGTATAATCTCACACATCAGGACGTCTCGTAGTCTCTACATCATGTGCCACATTCCCGTCTTCTGCTGGATCACTGCCACCGTTCTTCAGGACATTCTTGTCAGAAACGATGGGCAGGACATTCCTTCGACCCTCACCGAAATGTACATCCACTTCCTTCTGATACAGATGAACATGAAGAACCAGAAGTATGAGAAGAAACAGGAAAGAGATCGCACAAAGCTTTTGAGTTCAAACAAAGACATGATCTCCAAGTTGGCTAAACTGGCGTTCGAACAGCTGAAGGAGGATAACGTCATGTTCTATGAGAAGGATCTGAAAGCGTGCGGCATCAATGAAAGCGAGGATTCCACAGGATTGTGCACTGAAATCTTCAAGAAAGACTCTGTTCTGCATGAGATGAAGGTGTATTACTTCATACATTTGAGTGTGCAGGAGTTTCTGGCCGCGTTGCACGTGTTCCTCTGCTATTTGAAGCTGGACATGGACGAGCTGACTTTCTTCCTGGAGAATTCGCGTCCAAATAAGAAAGAACTGCTGTACGTTCTGCTTAGGAAGGCGATCGATAAAACAAAGGAGAGTGACCGAGGGCATTTCGATCTCTTTTTGCGGTTCTTGCTGGGTATTTCTCTGGAGTCCAATCAGAAACTCCTCATCGGCTTGCTGGACGAAACGCTGAACAGTAAAAACTGCATCAATAAAACCATCCAATACATCAAACAACTGCAAAACAATGACAAGTGCCCAAATAAATCCATCAACCACTTCTTCTGCATCCTGGAACTGCAGGACAGAACCCTGTACCAACAAATCATGAAATATCTGAGGTCAGAGAGCGGCCAGCCGAAAGCAGTGTCTAACTCCAACTGCTCAGCACTGGTCTATGTGCTTCTGATGTCAGGCGAGGTGCTGGATGACTTCGACCCGAAGATGTTCAACAAAACATATGCAGGATGCAGGAGACTCGTCCCAGCCGTGAGATGCTGCAGAAAAGCCCAGTAAGTATGAAAACTCTGATTTCCCCCCATTTTTTTAAACTGCATATTCTGTTTTACTTTTTCCCAAATTTAATTTGCATTTTTTTCATCATATTATTTTTATAAAAAGTTCCCCAGTTTGTTAGTTTTTCTCCAAAACCTGTTTTACTTTTTCAACATAATCTGTTTTTCCCCCTATTTGTGTTTCTGTTTTATTTTTTCATGATTCCAATTCAATTTGAGTAATCAAAAGCATGTTTAAGCAAATTAATTAATACAACTTTATGAATGAAATTCAAACTTTTTGTTAATTTTGTATGACAGTGATGCTGTAAAAATGCAGTGTAAGTCTGTATTTTTTCTTTTTTTAAATTTACAAAAGTTTGTGAAGCATAGTTTTTAAATACATAGTTTTTTAGGTTTTAGGTTTGTTGCGTTACATTTATAAAAAAGATGCAGCTTTGTTCTGTTGTTAAAATAATGTACAGGTCTGATACTGTAAACTCTTCATGACTTGCAAGTAATTACACTTTTTGTAGAGTTCCAACATTTTTGTGCTGTATATTGCATTATCTTTTTATATTATTTTGCTTTATTCAGATCTATTTTTTGAAACTGTGTAGAGGTGAGCTCTTTATGACTAGCTAACATCTTGCCATCTTTCCAGGTTTTCAGACTGTGGACTGACACAACAGTGCTGTGAAACAGTGGCTGTGGCTCTTCAGCTAGAGGACTGTCCTCTGAGTGAACTGGACCTGAGTCACAATTACAGCATCGAGGAGGGGGTGAAGATGCTTTCTGCTGGACTGAAGAGCCCACACTGCCATCTGGAGACACTCAGGTCATTAGCGTTTCCATTTCTGTGTGAACACGCTGTCTGAAATGTATTGCTGATATTGTACTTGTTCAGGTTGGCCTGGTGTCATTTCGACCAGGAGAGCTGTGTGGAGCTGGTCTCTGCTCTCAAGAACATCTCACATCGTCTAAGAGAGCTTGACCTCAGTGGCAATGACCTGCAGGACTCTGGACTCCATAAGCTCCTTAATGAGATGGAAAATACAGACAGAAAACTTCAGGTTCTGAGGAAAGTATTGATGATATTTAGCATCAACCACACTGTATGAGGCAGATGAATGACTGTTATGGAATGCTTTCCTGCAGGGTGAGCTGGTGTAACCTCACTGCGAAGAGTTGTGAGCACCTTCCCTTGGTCCTCAGTTCAGATTCGCCCCTGAGAGAGCTGGATCTGAGTAACAATGACCTGCAGGATTCAGGAGTGAAGCTGCTCTCTGATGCACTGAAGAGTCCAAACTGTCAGCTGCAGATACTGAGGTAAAACTAAGAGCTTTAGTTTATTTCTTTTAGAAATGTATTTTTTTCTCATTTGTTTTGTCAATCTGTAGGTTGTCCGGCTGTATGGTGACAGAGGAAGGCTGTGGTTATTTGTCTTCAGCTCTGAGTTCAAACCCCTCACACCTGAGAGAGCTGGATCTGAGCTACAATCACCCAGGACCATCAGGAGTCCAGCTGCTCAAACACAAACTGGAGGATCCCAACTATAAACTGCAGATACTCAAGTATGTCTTGTGGGTCAATGGTGTGGCATTCGTTTTTTGAATGGTCTTGTGTTCACAGACAATGACTTACAGAATCACTTACTTCTTTAAGTTAAAGAAGAATGGTTAATTTTTTATGAAATCTAGCTGTAGAGCTGCTTTGAATCAAGACAAAACATTAGTCATAAAGTCAATGTTGTTTTAGCGACATACAGGCAGCAATTATACATTTGTGCAGATACTTTTATCCAAAGCAACATTTAATACCTGGTTCATTTATTCAGTTCATTCATTCCCTGTAAATCAAACCCATGTCCTTTTGTTATTATTTGCTTTCATTCTATTAACCTCTTCTTCTTCATTGATTTCTACAGAACTGAGCCTATGGGTGAACACTTCATCAAAGCAGGGATAAGGAAGTGTAAGTTTCTTACTCTCCATCTCTCTGTCTCTCTCTGAGGCACTAACGGATGTGTTTTCTGTCTCACAGATGCATGCAATCTCACGCTGGATCCAAACACAGCTCACGATCAGTTGTGTCTCTCCAATGGAGACAGAACAGCAGCATATGTAATGCAGAAGCAGCCATATCCAGATCATCCAGAGAGATTTGAATCTGTCCAACAAGTGCTGTCTAGAGAGAGCCTGTCTGGCCGCTGTTACTGGGAGGCCGAATGGACGGGTCCGGAGGGGACGGTTGGGGTGACATACAAAACCATCCTGAGGAAAAGTGATGATCTTTGTATAGTAGAGGCCACCGGTCAGCTTGGAAATAATAGTGTGTCATGGAACATTACCTTTGCATCTTTCCCATATGTTTCTCACGCTGAAGAAGACATTAATATAAAGGCTTCATCCTCTTGTTCATCTAAAAGAGTGGGTGTGTATGTGGACACGACGGCTGGCGTTTTGTCCTTCTACAGCGTCTCTGACACACTCACACACTTGTACACCTTCCTCGCGGCTTTTAAAGATCCTCTCTATGCAGCATTCAAGGTGGACAGTGGCTCTGTGTCCTTTTGTCAGATATAACCTAAAAGTCTCTTTATCCTAACATTATGTGCACATTTATTGCCATCTTGTTTTGCCCTGTGTGAAAACATAAAATCTCATTTGAATTTAAGCAGGTAAAATGCAAAGGTTTCACATTTTACTGTAAATAACAACCCAACCACATTTTAGAAATGACTTGATGATTTGCCTTTTTAGATATGCAAAAGCTGACTTTTTTATTAAAACGCTTTATTGCGTTATGAAATTTTCTCTGAGCTTAAAGTCTCATTTGTTCACTTTGTTAACCTAGATGATGCCTATATAGATACTTTGTCGGTAAAGTAAATCACATAGCTGTAGGAGATTATCAATTTATATACAGTAAATACACAAACATTGTGAAATTATTTGCATTAACATGGAAAAAAAACGTATTTACTTTGAGATCTGAAAATCAATAACTAAATAGGGTGGCCATATGTACTGTTCATACGGGACACGTCCTGGCCAGGATTTTTATATTGCCTAAAACATCCAAAGTAGTTTGACCAATAACCAATGCAGGTATTGTATATAATCGACCAATCGTGGCGCGTGAGATCTTCAGAGAACGATCAAAGTGATGCAAATACGCGCACGTGTTTGTTCGTACAACGATCGATCTGCACAGTGCAAACAGCCAAAACCTGGATATTTTAGGCAATATAGAAATCCTGGCAAGGACGCGTCCTGTAAAAATGGCCCATATGGTCACCCTAGTTTTACTACACATAAAACCAAAAAACCATGGTTATCGTAGTTAAACCATGGAAACCACAAATGAACCATGATTTTGCTACACTAACCATAGTTTAACCATGGCATGTGTATTAATCAATCTGCCCAAAAAAAACATGGTTACTACACTTTTACTATAAAAAAAAAAAAAATGTAATTTAGTTGTAACTATGGATTACGTTGACACAGGTTTTCACGATGATGTACCTGAGAGACAACCAATTTCACAGTAAATGATCAAATTTTCAGCAGTAAGAAAACAAGTGTTTTAAAGCTTGCTGTTTTGTAGAACATCACAGTTATATGTGATATGATATGTGATAATAGTAAGGCCTGTTGATAAGGAGTATGTGTTATTTAAAAAAAATATAATATTTTCAGAATGACATATGTATATATATTTTTCAAACCTAGTCTGTGGGGGAAAACGCCCTCAGGGGGCATGGCTTAATTACTGTAGTTTTTCTGTTCTGAACATCAAATCCTTTGTTTTTCCATCAAATGTATTCTAACTAGTTGGTTGAATAAAAATATTGGGACTTATTTAAAAATTACCTCAAGTTAGCATCAGGTAGCTAGTTAGCTAGCCAGTTGGCATCAGCTAACAATATTTTTCAAAAAGGCTATTATAATTTTGTAATTCATAATTATTGATTATATTCTTTTTCATTTGAAGGTAAAACAGCCTGTACTCTGATTTTGCTGTAAATGTATAAAGCAAATTGTTTTGTGAGACTGGGGGCATTTTACCTCACCTGTGAAGCAAGACGCCCCCTTGGTACAAATTACATTTTTGTTAAAAATCTAATAAATCTACACATCTGGAAACACGTGAACACTGAGCAGTGTGGGGAATTTGCTGTGAATTATTACATAAATCTTACCCGTTGCATTCATGTATGACTGATGGATATGAATCACATTAAGTTTATTGATTTGTTTATGTTAAAACGATGTAATCTAAATGGATGGAAAATTGGTATGCAATAGAATTACTTAAAATGTAAATTTAGACCGAAACATTTTTTGGAGTGTTCATTGTCTTCCATGTAGGAATTTTTGCTCTTCTGCTGATCAGCCATTGTTATGTTTTCATGTGATCTCATTCATCAGTGTTTGCCATCTGCAATACAATCTCAAGTTAAGTTAATTGGCTTCATTCATCTGTTTGCGTCTGATACTCACCTATTGTTGTCTGTTTTCCTATCATCAGTAAATCATCAGTTTTACACCCTTGCTTGTGTTGTTCTGTTACGTCATATGATAGAATTATGAAAACAAGAACTATACAATGGCATGTTGCATCTCACAGAATTAGAACACAAATTCACATTCAACCCTGATTTTGTTGTGGCTTTACACAGAAAACATGATTTTCCTGAAGTAAACCGTATACAAAAATAGCATGATTATTGGGTGTGTGCTACTGAAAATTATTACAAACTTGATTATCATGAAATCTAACTTACATTAACATCTGAACTTACATTAACAACTGTAGCTGTAATTGTAATATCACCTGGATTCAGTCAGATTTACTGAATAGAAAAAAAATAATAAAGATTTTGTGTCACTGCATGTTAAACTTGCATGAAGCCGGACTGATGTATTTTCAATTTGTACTCAATATGTTGGACTTCATTATGTACATTTACAAAACAAATCAAGTTGCTTTCCTTTACTTACTTAGTAAAATATATAAGGCAGTTTTTCTTTGCTTTGCGTTACTTCTGATAATTTACAAATGAAATGTATCAATTCAACATTTTGAAATAAAATCATGCAATGATTTCCTGTCTGTGTAGATGTTTTCTTTATAACAGACAGAATAGCTAAATGAAGAATTTAGTGGAATCACAGCTGCTGATAAACTGAAAATCTTCCTCTTTAAATACAAGCCAATGCACATAATTTGTTTAAAGGTGCAACAGTGGCAGATATCTTCATTATATGAGTAGATGTGATAGTTTGTTTCAGAGAAAAAAGTCTTGCCCAACACAACATAAAATAATAAATATGATTTACTATTTAATATATTAAATATTATTTATAATGACTTACAAGCCCCATTTCACTTCTGAATTACGAATCGAAGCAAGACCATACTTTAATTAATACATTGCTGCTGTCTATTGCACAACAATGGATTCTGGGGTTTAAAGAGACTGAATCGTTGATCAAATGGTTTCAGACACTGTAAGAAAAGAGCTGATGCTGCAGGGTATATTATGATAAAAGTATTTTATTTAATTTTTTATGTTGGATCCATGTTAACCTATTGCAGGAGACCTCCGAAACAAAATTAAGATCTTTTAAATTAGTATCAAAGAGCCACTTTAAATCATTGTCTGCACATGCACACTAATAAGTCACTTCTTTTCTGTAGATGGTGAATTCAACAAGGCGCAAACTGCAGGTATTAGAATAAATGGGTGAATCAACAACATTTTTTTTTTACTTTCAATGAGAAAGACAATGACGAAAATCTATTAAAAAAAAATTGACGAAAATGGAGGGACGATTAGGAAGAGATCCGGTCAGAACGAATCTCCTGCGTGGAAGGGTAGATGGGCACATTTGAACTGTAACACTCTGATCAGTTTGCATACACTTGCTGCATGTCTCATAAAACATTTTTAAAAATGTCAGCATCTCATAAGATAAGAGCATATGGATAAATTTGAAAAGCGTGATGACGCGAAATAGTACTACTTAATTCGGTCCGGTGAGTGCACACAGCCGAATCCCACACACAGAAAAGCACCTTTCAAACAGTGCATGCCTGCTGAATTCAGTTCTCTCTCTATAAACAAAATTATGTCAAATTGTCCGTTTTGATGAGTAGTCGCGTAAACACACTTGGTTACGTCTTCAGTGAATGTAAACTTTTGGGAGAATATCGCAAAAAGCCACTAGAAGGCAAGCCTGCGAATTTTAGCCAAAAAAGCGTAACAGCTAATGCTAATGGAAAGGAGACCAGGGGCCATTTTTTTTAATGGATGTCAATGGAGGAGAAGCTTCACTACGCTGAATAAACAGCTTTTTGTAGGAAACAGCTCATCATTTAATGAATCGACAGCCTATCTGCTAATTTTCAACATGTTTTACACTAAACAATACTTTTGGGTTGAACTATTTTTAGAGTTTACCACAAAAAAAATGCTGTTTTATAAGAGAAGTCACTGACTTTTTGCGACAGGTGGGATTCAGCTTACGGCATTTCTCATTCATTCCTATGGGATCCGTAAATGGTGATTGAGTGTCGCACAACTCTGACTGAAATTCAATGACGTCAAGGCTGTAATGTGATTGGTTAAGGCACACATGATCCAAGTTAGCCGTTACGCTTTCTCCAATAGTAAGTAATACAGACCCTCCCTAGTCCCTATAGTAAGACAATCTCTAATATTGCCAGTAGTATATTTGATCCCTGCACTCAGCTTTAAAGGGACAGCAGACTAATTTAGTTATTGTTGTCTGTCATTATTGTTAATGAATAAACAAAAGAAAGAAAGAAAAACACTCCCTGCTCTTGACTGAATCACTTTAGTAGCTCTAATAAGGATTAATCTAAATTTAATTTATATAAATACATATGTCTGCTTGAAAGAATGAAGGATGTCGTATGCAAGTTGTTATAAAGAATACATATTATATAACCATTGGTATTTCACTGGAAAGAGGACCGTGTTCTTGTTTCGTTGTGGTTTTATTTATTTTTTAGATGAAGACATGTTATGTGTCACAGCAGTTAAATCTATCTGCTGCATTTTCAAATCATTCATATTACCACTTCAATAGATATTTTCTCCAGGAATATATAACGAGTTTGGAAATTTTAGAGGAATGCTTACTAAACCTTGACTATCTACTGTAGGTTTTCCCCTGCTTTCACAGACAAGGCTTAAGCCTAGTCCTAGACTAAAATGTAAGTCTGAGCTGTTTCAACTGAAAGAAACTTGCACTGACTGATCTTAAAACATCTCAGTGCCTTTGTTTTGTCTTAAGATGCACACCAATTGAACTATGGCCTAATCCTGGCTTAGGCTAAGCCCTGTCTATGAAACCGGGCCTTAGTCGACTAAAACTAGACTAAGACTAAAACAATTTAGATGACTAAAATATGACTAAAACTAAATGCCATTTTAGTCCAAAGACTATGACTAAAACGAAATCAACATTTTCTGTCAAATTTAACAGAGCTGTAACCATAATATGTATTTGAAAACCATGTAGATCTGAATATTTCAGTTACTTTGGTAAATACTCCACTTTAGTTTCTCTTCGTTCGAGCCCTTAAAATCATTGTTATAAGACAGAAAGATCCTTGAGCATTAGTTAAAGGTCATTGCGCCGTGATAAACACCACCCTGAAGAACAGGGGCCTTTACGGTTCCTCCACTGGCGGAGTTTATGGTCACTGTAACTCCTGTCTTTGAAGCTTTTGCAGCCGCTGCACCGGATGAAGCTTCGTCTTCAGCAGAAACGTCCTCTGAAACTGATGGAGACATAGAGATCAACTCGAAATGCATAACAGTTTAGATCAAAAATTCATAGATGTAGATGAACAAGTGTCAAA